GTCCCTTCCAACCCAAAGCATTCTATGATTCTATGATGAAGTATTGATAACTTTCAGTTCTCTAGAATACTTCCAGTATTCAGTGAGACATTCTGATTTCTTAGCCACTCTGCTATGGCATACTTGAACTTTGGAGGTACTAGGTGAATATTTCACTCCTTTTAAATTATTCAGGTTTTCAACATTATTTTCTCTGATGCTGAGGTTTTGTTCTGAAAATGAACAAAAGGTTGAGTTAGGAATTTGTGCATCATTAAGAAGGCAGAGATGTTTATTCGTTCTTTCGATCTTTATCTTTTTTAATGTCTCTTTTTAATCTCTAAGTATTTGGTGGTCTTAGTGATCCATTTAAGTATTTTTAAAGGCTTCCTGCATCTTGTACATCTGGGAAATTCCTGTTGGTTGTTTTACCTTAAAAATTCCCTTTGAGTGCTCTTTTGGTGCTTCTTGTTTCTCCCTTTTAATTGCTGTTGTTGTTCATGTATTTCTTTATGGATTTAAATAGCATTAAATTTCTGAATCTGTATGTTTTCTACCTGACTTGATAGTTTCTTGAACTTTTTGATTTTGACTTGAGTTGATTTTTTTTTCTGTTGGCTGTCCTGGTACCCTCTTTCCTTGGTTGCCTGCATATCTTTCAGGTTCTTCTGTTAGTTTTTCTAGTAACCTCCTGGACACTTTAATTTGTTAATCCAAAAGATTCTGAATTCAAGTTGTCATAAGGAGAAATGGATTAGGACATTTATTGGAAGACAGAGCAGAACTAACTGTGCTTAAGAACTTTGCAGATATATGGAAGAAAAGCGTGGCTTTGTAGATGTGAGATTCTCTTATTGTTTCTCTATTAAAGTTGTGAGAAAATAAAAAAAACGCTGTTGCAGATAATCAAAGCAGTTTTGAAAATTTAGGACTGTTGTGGTTTAAGCACCACACAGCTGTTCAGTCACCTTCCCCTCTCCCCGATGGGATGGGGGAGAGAATCAGGGAAAAAAGTAAAATTAAAACCTGTGGGTTGAGATAAAGGCAGTTTAATAGGACAGCAGAGGAAGAGAAAATAATAATAATGATAAAAGAATATACAAAGCAAGTGATGCACAATGCAATTGCTCACCACCCACTGACCAATGCCCAGTTGCCAAGCGGAGTTTGCTGCCCCCCAGCCAACCCCCCCTAGTTCATATACTGAGCATGACGTCATATGGTATGGAATATTGCTTTGGTCAGTTTGGGTCAGCTGTCCTGGCTGTGCCCCCTCCCAGCTTCTTGTGCACCTGGCAGAGCATGGGAAGCTGACAAGTCCTTGACTAGCATAAGCTGTACTTAGCAACAACTAAAACATCAGTGTGTTATCAACATTATTCTCATACAAAATCCAAAACACAGCACTATGCCAGATACTAGGAAGAAAATTAACTCTGACCCAGCAGAAACTAGGACAAAGACTTTGTGACTCAATTTTACAAAACGTAATTAGTGTCTTTGAATTTTACTATAGTAATAGAGTTAGCTGATTTTACTGAATGATTGAGTGCTGTCTAGAAATATAGGGGAGTTAACTGAAAGCTTTGGATTCAGAGGGACTGCTCTGTTACATATTTCACCTGAAGTACAATGTATGAATCAGTAACCTGTTAATAATTATTGTAGATCTATGTGATAACTCTTCTATTTGCTTGTTAACAGGCTGAATATGTACCAGAAATGGCCAATGACTCAGTTTGTCCTGTAGATGCCAAGGAAGAACTCCTGGATGAATGTGAGAGTATCTGGAAGCAGATGGAAGAGGTATACAAAATTTGTTGTAAACTTTCCTCAGCATTTTTTTGTTCATCTCCCCATCCTTCACGGCATGCTTACCTCACCCCCTCCAAAGAAACCACTGCAACAAAATAAGGAGGGGAAAAAAAGGGGGGGGAGGGGAAGACCTTCAGAAAGGGCAAAGGTAGAAGTGGTGGCAGGGGTGAAGAATGTCTTGCAGTGTTGAACTTTGTTTACAGTGTGCTGATGTTATGATTTTAATAGGAGTATATGTTAAAGCTAGGGAAAACTATACAGTTTACCTGTGTTCTGGTAGTACCAGCACACTGAGACTTGAGATCCTTCTCTCTTTAGCCTCATACAAGATGGGATTCAACTGCTGTTCACAAGTACTTTGGATCTTAAAGGAGAGAGAGAATGGGAGGAGAAAGAGGCTTAGAAGGACGATGATGTTAGTATACATTCATGCAAACTGACAGTTACATCCTCAAGAATAAAATTTATCTCTCTCGATATATGTTCCGATATGCTAATAATAACATTTTAGAGTGAGTTATTTTTATTTACAGGAATCCCAGGAAAGATAAACTTAACAGTTCTGAGGGAATGCTGTGCATCCTATAAGATTCTGATGAAAAGTCATGTTCTAAATTATATTTTGAGAGTCTTAATTGCCTCACTCAATTTTATGTGGTATTTATATGCTATGTGCTTGAGTTCTGAGTTGTAGATTCAAAGCATTAAAAATATCACGTCAGAGGATGTGAACTTTCTTTGAAATTTTCAGATTAGAAGGGAAGTTAGAATGTTTAGTATTTTGAATTTAATTGAAAATATTTGATATCTTGTTCCCAGCATCCCCAAAACAATACAGGAAGTGATAATGTGCATTATTTTTGGAAGTTGATAAAACAGTAGGCTTTTTATTACTTTGATTGTTGCAGCCCGGATGCATGCATGTTTCAGCAAGAAGTTTAAACGACTAATAGTCATTGAATTAGCTCCTAGGTTATATGGTTTATGGTTCCAATGATTGTGTGTCAGCATTAGCAGGTTTTTTTAGTGGAGTGTTTTGAAGTTTTATATTGTGTTTTTGTTCCAAAACATTAACAGTAAGGCTTCCAAAGTACTGCTTGGTACTTTTACTGCTTCATAGAATACATCCTGCCCTGTCACGGGGCAGGTTAATTTGCTGACAGTTATAAAACAAGAAAGAGTTTAGCAGGTGTCTCTTGCTGAAGCCTTGGATATCTGTGGTGGCCTGAATTTCAGACTGGGTATACCTCCCATTGCAGTCATGGGAGCTGATGTAGTGCACTTCTAAAAATCAGATCATTTCTGAAGTGTAGAGTATATTGCCCTAAATGAGTTAAAACTAAAGATGTGTATTACAAAATGATTGCTCTGTTTGGAGAGCCAGAATAGTAGCAGCAAGTGTGTTAACTTCTCAGCGGCTTCCCTATTCAGCCTTGTCCATGACTCTCTTCCCAGTTTCTCATGTTCTTTATCTGTTCAGTGTCTTGCCCCGTATCAACTTCCCTCATAATTTGCCTTTTCCTCAGATCATACATCTTTTGTTAGCTGCTGCTTTTCTACGTTTCAATTAATTGAAGTTCTTGGGTTTTAATATTTTAAAAATATGTGGTATGATTTTAAAAATATTTCTTAATTTGCTGTTCTGGGTCAGGCCCTGAGGGATGTGGTAGGACTCAAGTCAAAACTCTTTTTTCCTGTATTAAACAACTTTTGGCATTTCAAAGCATCCTGTTTCTTTCTTACAAAAGGGGAGAGTAAGTAAACATTCATTGTGTTTTGTTTTCTACTAAGTGTCAGAGCAAGCTAATGCTTCTAGGAATGGAAACACTGTTAAAGTCGGATGCCAAGGTAAGACAGTAATTTTTTTTTTATTCTCCACAAAATATTTCATTTTCTTTGAAGACATGGTGTGTTTCCAAAAGTAGGAAACTAAATTATCTTTACTTATTCTCTAAAGCTGACAGTTTTATTAACTTTGAAGCTGTATTCTGAAGTAAGTGTCTAGCAAATAGTGAAAAGTTGCATTTATGTATAGCAAAAAAGTTACATGCAGTCCTGCCACACAATTGATAAATGGCTAACATAGGCAGCAAAATGGAGGGGTGTGTAACTTCAATACACATTTGGACTATTTCCTAATCAGTGTACATGCAAGTTGTGAAACTCTATATGGATCCCTTTAGATTTACTCTTGAACTTTGTATTTGCAAGTTACAGTTGTTCCCCATTTGTGGATATCCTAAACAGATGTGCTTGAATTAGAAATTAACTGAGTGATGCTGAGTGCATGAACGTGAGCTCCTGTATCCCTCAAATTTTGGGGAATGTGCAAAAAGACAATGTTGGCTCACTGTTTAGTTGTTTGTAAATTCTAAATAGGAACCTTTAAAATAGAATTTAGATGCGGACTGTGAATTTGGAAAGTATAAATAGTTAGACATTGGGCTGGTTGGGTGAAATATGTAGGTCTTACAAATCTCCATCTTGTGTGACTTCAGTAAGAGTATTCAGATCGTTAATTCAATACACTTGACTGAATAACTAACAAAAAGAGCACTTTTCTTCAGAGATGTATCTGTTGAATACATTCAGATGTTTAATTATTATGTAATTATTAACACTGATCTCTTGCTAGTAATAAACTATGTTCTAAACTATTATTTCATCAGAATAAATAAATGAAGATGCATATTCAAATGCATAAACCACAATCTTTTTCTCCTTTTAGGACTCCGGATAAAATCCTATAAGTAAAAATAAATATTGTATAATTTTAATTGGGTGTAGACTGTTCTTTATGTTTCTTTGCAGCTTTACTGAAGCACATCATACCCTTGTAATTAATAAACTTTCGAGATATGCTTTTCTTGAAAACTGTCATAGCAAGACAATGATTAAATGGATTTGCAAAAATGAAGATTGAATTAAGATTGCACTTCATGGTAGAAAATGGGGATGAGAGGAAAAGGTCATGTTATATCCTCTGTCAGCAACTTTCATGAGATTTTATTGCAGCCCTAACATAGGCACTTGTATTGACCCAGGAATCTACAGACCTGTTAGTCTAACCTCAGTACCTGGACAAAATTATGGAGACTATCACACTGGGTGCTACTGAAAGACATATAAAGAACAACGCAATCATCAGGCACAGTCAATGTGGGTTCACAAAGGGAAAGTCCTATTTAACTAATTTGATATCCTTCTATGATAAGGTTATCTGCCTAGTGGATGAAGGGAAGGCAGTGGATGTAGTTTTTCTGGATTTCAGTCAGGCTTTTGATACTGTCCCTCACAGCATCCTTCTGAACAAGTTGTCTAACTGTGGCATGGGCAGGTTCACAGTGCACTGGGTGAAGAACTGGCTGAAGGGCAGGGCTCAAAGGGTTGTAGTGAATGGGGTACATCTAGCTGGCAACCAGTCACCATCAGTGTTCCTCAGGGCTCAATTCTAGGGCGAGTTTTGTTCAAATATATTTATCAACAATCTGGATGCAGGAATTGAATGCACCATTAGCAGGTTTGCTGATGATACTAAACTAGGAGGTGCTGTTGACTCTCAAGGGACAAGAGGCCTTGCAGAGGGATCTAGATAGATTGGTGCACTGGGCAATGATTAATGGGATGACATTTAACAAGAACAAATGTGGGATTCTGCACCTGGGATGGAATAATGCTGGGCACAAGTATAAATTGGGAGAGGAGTGGCTGGAGAGCAGCCCTGCAGAAATGGATCTGTGAGTGTGTGTTTGTTTGATGCTAAGCTCAATATGAGTCAGCAGTGTGCCCTGGTAGCCAAGAGGGCAAACCACATCCTGCATCAAACACAGCGTAACCAGCTGGTCAAAAGAGTTGGTTATCCTGCTGTATTCAGCACTGGTGTGGCCTCACTTGGAGTACTGTGTGCAGTTCTGGGCCCCATGATTTAAGAAGGTTGTTAAGGTCCTTGAATGTGTCCAGAGGAGAGCAATAAAGCTGGTGCAAGAGCTGGAAGACATGTCCTATGAGGAGCAGCTGACTTTGGCTTGTCCAGTTTGGAGAAAATGAGGCTGAGGGGTGACCTCATTGTTTTCCACATTTTCTTGAGGAGGAGAAGTTGAGAGGGAGGTGCTGAGCTCTTCTCCCTGGTATCCAGTGATAGGAAGTGTGGGAAGGGTTCAAAGCTGCACCAGGGGAGGTTTAGTCTGGACGTGAGGAAGCATTTCTTTACTGAGAGGGCGGTCAAACACTGGAACAGGCTTCCTAGAGAGGTGGTTGTTGCCCCAACCCTGTCAGTGTTCAAAAGGCATTTGGACAATGCCCTCAGTAATATGCCTTAACTTTTGGTCAGCCCTGAATTGGTCAGGCAGTTCAACTAGATGATCATTGTAGGTTCCTTGTAACTGGAACTATTCGTTTCTGCTCTCATTGTAGCTGGCAAAGAAGCTATAGTTCTTTTCCTTGTTGTTGATCTTGTCACTAATGTTCATTCCTTAATCACCTCAGGACTGTAATCTTGCAATGTACTCTTTGTGGTTTTATCCTTTAAGTTTGGGGACTGATTCTGGTCTACGATGTAATGGATTACTTACTGAGCAGCATGTTTTGCTAGGAGCGTATACAAGGCACGAGAGAGAGACACCTGAAGCACATATTTGCTGTATGTGTTTGTTGAAAAGATGGTCCTTGATTTAAGGTTGCTGAATGGTAACGTTAATTTATTGGCAAGTTGTTTGTCCAGTTGCTGGAATATCCAGAACATTTCGTACATGCTTTTTCATCAAGTTTAAAGGAAGAATGAGCTGATAGTATTGTCAATTATGAAAGAGATGACACCACCTGATCTAGAAAATATGTGTTTGTATCGTGATTATTTCTTTTGTTTTGGGTTTGTTTTCCTTTATTTCAAAAGTTTGTTATGTGAAAATGCACTTAGCAAAGTTGTTTTGAGCAGTGAAAAGTAAAAACTAAGTTGTCAATTCTTGACATTTTTATTATAAGAACTTGGCTGATGATTCTTAGCATATTTTTCTCTTTTTAGTTGATGTAAATCCAAATGCAATCTGCAGTGCTTTTTATGGAATGCTTGACTATATCAGCAGTACCTTTTGTATTTAAATGTATGTTTAATTTCTTACCAGATTACTGGTAATGTAATATCTATATGTAGTTTACAATGCATTTGAAGAAAAATTACAGGTGCAGTCCTTGGTTTCAGGAAGTGGAATAGTAATAAAAAATATGTTCTTTCTCCAGAACATAGTAAGATATTAAAATAAGTACATTTTTAAAAATCTATGGTTGTTTAATTTGGGTTTATTAAAAAACTTTTCTGAACTGGTGTTTTTTCTTATTGCTACTATATTTTCAGTGATTACAGTGAGCTAGAGCACTAGTTCTAAAACACTTTTTGTTGAGTCCACAGGTGTGATTTTGATAGAAGATTTATTTGACTACTGGTTTTTGGGAAGGCAATCTTTTTTTTAGTCATCACACATCAAGCACATTTAACCTTACTTATTTTATATATAAAAAAAAATAACATATTTAACCTTAAATGTGTATCAACCATGCATCTAAAGAGGAGCGGGGATGTGAAGTATTATCATTGATTCTAGTTGCTCATCTTCAGTTCTGGTCATTGTCTGATATTACAGAGGAAATTGAGGAAAAATTCCAACTCTGACTACTTCAGATTTCCCCCTTTTGAAAAAAGAATAAAAATGTTTCTTGATCCCTGCAAGTGGCTTTTTAAATCCTTTGAAGGAATAAGTGGCCTATTGTAATGGATGCTCTTTTGTTTTCTGCTGCATAAACTTAATAATTTAATTTCTATCCCATTCTATCTCATTTTACTCCAATGCAATTCAACACATTTCAAGAGATGCTTCTTTTCTTGTTATATAGCTTTCCTTGTTAATGACGCGAGTGAAAGCTTTAACAGCGGAATATAATCAATGGCAAAAAAGAAGTCCTGAAAGTAAGTAACTGCTTCGATGTAGGGTATACTCATATAAACTTCTGCAAAGTCTCTTTTGTCTAGGCATCTTAAACTGTGTATATATCGAATGTCTGCTGATTGTATTTTCATACTATAACTACTTAAAAATTAAATACTTCCCACAGTAGCCTGTATGTTTCATTTCTATATTCTTTTTGCACTTTGGTTCTAAGTGAACTTAGAATTCAAAGTGAATTCTACTATAACTTAACCTTATGATTCTGGACTAATAAATGCATGATTCATATCACCATTCATCAGTCAGTTAAATGAAAAAATAACTGTTAGCAGGTCTCCTAACAAAGTAACAAAAGTTCATTATGCTGTTATGTTACCCTCTTTCAGTTTTCTCCTTTCTGTGACTGTTTCTTCTCCATCTTTCATTTGTATTTCCTTCTTAGGACAGAACTACTTTGGCAAAGAATTTTGTCTTTTTGTCTTTTAAGAAGCTGACTTTTTTTTTTATCTTTGCAAGTATTGCTAATAAACTAACAATAACTTACCTAGGCATATTTTTAACCATGCCTCCTTTGATTTTTTTTTTTATTACTACTTCACAAAAGTGTTTTGTATTATGATGTACTAACTGACACTTTGAAGTAAACCTTTAGCAGTAAGCCCATTACAGCATAATAAAATACCTAGCTCGGATTTAACAAGGATCAGAGATTTCAGGTCAAGAAAAAGGTGGTAAAAGACACTTCAGTTTATTTTAACAACACAAGAATCCAGATCACTTATTGATCTAGAGAAACACAAACCACTGAGACAAGTGGTAGTTCTTATATTTGTTAGGCATTATCAGTTAAAAGGTATAAATTCCTCAGTTCTTCAGAATTCTTTTTGTATGTAATTGTCAGTGCTGACTGATATAACTCTGTTGCAAGGCTGATGTGGCCAGACACTGAAAATAAAACCATTCAGAATCTAAGTATGAGTAATCTGCTTTTTCAGATCTCCCATTTGGAGACTCCTAAAACAGTTCACACTACACTATCATTAATATTCTGGTAGCACTCACTGTTATGTCTTCTGTCAAGGAACTGTTAGCACCTTTCAATCCAGCAAGACTTAACAGTTAATCTTTAAATGGATACATTGACTCATTTGGATATTTTTATGCCAGAAGAAGCTTGGGGGTTTTAGTGTGTACAAAATGATATGCATCTGTTTTAGACAGCAAATGGTGATTTCCAATATGTTGTCATTTGGCCAAATCGGAATGCATTTTCAGATGAACATTAAAATCATCTCTCCAGCTTCTTTCAAAGTTCATGTACTTGCTGCATATGGTGATCAAATAATAGGAACTGGGGAAAAAATAAATATTTCTCCTTTCTTACAAATAGATATTGTTATGCTATGAGAATAAATTAATAGTTAATGTGCTTTGTAAGCCTGTCTCTAAGAATGGTCAGCCTCAAATGCTTCTTAGAGGTATGTAGACCAGAAGTATGACATTGAATGAATTTGGGAAATACTGGTTCTTGGCTGCTGCTCATGAATAATCTGCTGGCTTAAAGCAAATGAATTGAAAGCAATTGCAGTTTTTATCTTGGTAAAATACCTGGAGATGTTAGGTTTCCTTACTAAAATATGTAATTATTTTAAACTTGAAGCTATTTGCTTAAAAATATTCTTGGGGTTTGACCTATTTTTATTGGCTTGCTGACTTGCTTTGCTCAACCATTCTTACTTGTTCCCAGTTGATAAGATTTATTATTAGAAATCTTAATTTTGTACTAAAGAAATGATCTATGCATATTATAATGCAAATAATATTTTGCAGCCAAAGCTTTGCCTTTTTGGCTACCTTTCTAAGGGAAGAAAAGAGAAATTGCTGTTAAGAATTTAAATAGAATTATAGTGGTTGTGTGAAAATGAAGAGTCTATTGTGCTTACGTCTTCTCTGTCCATCTTGTCTCCTTTCTACCTACTTTTGTTTTGAAGGAGGAATTAGTTAATTGAAAACATTGTCTGAATTTATCTAGATAGGAATAGCAGAAATACTAATTTCACACAATTTACTCATAGAGCGTGAATGTCAGGCTGTCTTGTTACTTTGGTTTCTGCTTTTAGTAATGGCCAGCTCATTTCTTGTAAATGAGGGCCTGTCAGCATGTCAATTTTAAACCTTATTTTCAGAGGTTATAACTTGGCAGCTTTACATTTCTTTGCGCACAATATTGGCAAACAGACTTGAATCCACAATGCAAATTTTATTTTGCAAAGCTTTTACTTTAGTCTCTTATTCTCTCTCTATTTCTGGTACTATTTATGTAGCTCTAGACCTGCTAAATCAGCTGAATTAAAACTTCTTAACAAGCATTTGGCTCATAAAAATAGAATTTAACTTTTACCTTTGCAAAATAAGGAAGTGGAAGCAACTATATTTTAAACCATATAAACCAGTTGTGGTCTCTGCATAATTTCTGTTTTTCCTTGTAAAATATCAGTATTCTGCCAAATTCCTCTTATTTTAATAAATGTTCTGTATAAATATCTGCATAGTAGTTGCTTTTACATTCTTAGCATCTGGTAGTATTTTGCTCAGTAATTGTACTTCGTATCACGAGACAATTCTGTTTGACATTTGATTTTTTGCAAGTGTAGTGATTAATAACTGAAAAAGCTTTAACTGATAGTAGATGGAGCAACCTGTGTTCTTTACAGTAGCAGTTGCCATAAATGTGTTGTCCCAGTGTCTTAGATCTGCAATGTTCCTTCACTAAATTAGGGCTAGTGATTTCTTTCCTAGGAAGATGTGGCCTTCTATTCTGATACATTGTATGAATATTGAATGCGAAGCACATGCTTGGATTAGGTATCTAAAAATGAAAAAGTGCTAGAAACAAATAGTAGAAATTGATAATTCCAGGTAGTGAGGGCTCACGATAATCATGGTGGGTGGTGGCGGGGGGAAGAGTTGTATGGGTTTCTTCAAATATGCCAGTGAATGTGAATAAAAGCACACTGATGAATTTTGTCATGTGTATGTAGGATATTCATGTCACTGAAGAAATCTTGCTCTAATAATAGCACAGACCACTACCTCCCACAGCTCTTAAACATAAGCTTAGTTTGGGAGCACTCAAATTTTATGTCAAGATTTAGAGATAGTAATTCCCTAAGTAAAAGGGATTTTATTGTGACATGTAATCTGATGCATTTTGAACTCAGTAGTTTTGCTGATTTTCATCGTGGAACAAACACTGCTTTTAAAACTACTAATCTAAGGCTTCTCAAAATTTGTGGAGTTAAAAACTATAAAATTACTTTACCAAAAAAAGTACTTTTATAAATTTATGAAATCAACTGTATTGTATTTAGTAGATATTCAATGCTTTTATGTGAAGGTTAAGGGGTTTCATTTTTGTTAAGGGAAAAGCTTTTATTCTTATTTTTAAGATTAGAAATTTGGAGCCCAAGCTTGGACAAAAAATATCCCTGACATATTAAGATTTAAATCTGTTAAAGTAGCTTTCATTTCTCCTGCTAGTAGATTCAAGTGCTTCACTTCTGAAAAAGTTGCATGTTTATGCAGATACTGCAAGTTGACGTGGAACTGAGAATTGATTGGAGTCCATTGAAGGCTATCAAATACAACAATTCACTTTTTATTCAGAAAAATCCATGAGCCATAAATGGCTGTGTTTTGCAGAAGCATTCTGGGGAAACATTACCACATCCTTGAAAAGTACTATACTTTCCCTTAAGTACTGCTGTTTGCTCAGGGTTGCAGTTAGGATATTGGCCTTGCACAGCCTTTTATCTCCCTACATGTAGCTGTTCTTGTGAACAGTAAGGATGGTGACGTGCTTTTTAAGTTCTTTAAATCTGATAGGTTTTACAATCCTGATAAAGCATTTGGGAGGCTGTTTAACAAGGAGTTGGAAGACTGGAAGAATTTGATTGCACACATTAGTAATACTGATGGAGTCCCTTCCACTGAAAAAATCAGGCTTGCTTATCTTGAAGTATGACTGTACTTCACATTTCAATATTACGTACCTGAGCTAGTTTAGGTATAAAAAGTGATGCAGAAGCACTAACACCATACTATTTTCAGTATAATTTAACTTGCTGAAAAGTGACAGTAGGTTAGCCCAGCAGGACACCACAAAAAGTGGTTAAACTGCTGCTGACAGCCAAGCTAGTTTTTTGGAGGCTATACAAGTTTCTCTCTAGCCAGGCTGCTTTTCATTATATACAAGTCTATATCATCCAATGTAAAAAACCCAATTCATTTTATTTTTCAGTAATTTCTACAAATCCAGATGTACTGTTAGCATTAGGAAAAGAAGAGGTAAGTCTTTTTGTTTGTTAAAACATAATAAAATTTCATGGAAAAAAAAATGAAACAAGTATATATACAATTACCGCATTTTCCTATGGCTACTCCTGTGGTGGACTACTGCTAAAATACTGTGTATGTTTCTTCAGGCATTGTTGTTCTAATGTTTTTTTCTTCCCCTGTGCTATAACTGCTACAATTTCCTAGTTGTAATGAATGATCTTTTAAACAAGAAGTTTTTTATATTGCATTTCATACTTGATATAAAATAATGTAACATATTGTGTTAGACAGAAGAGTCAGTATTCTTAGATCTAGAGTTCTGTGGCAATAATTTGCAAATATTTTGTTGAGTTCTTCCAGCCTTGGAAGAAAGAGCAAATCAAGAATGTCTTAAGGGTAGCATTACACTATATTGATTGGACATTGGTATGCAACATGACCTGAGAATACTCCTGTGGCTATGGCTTAAAAAAAAAGGAAAAAAAACCCAACAACTTTTTGGTTTTCTTCTTCCTAGCAGCTTTCCTCCCTCTAGTATCACTCACAACAGGGAACACAACTGCTCTTAAGAGTCACTATTAACTCTTGTTTGGTTACACACTTTCATTTCACTGTATCGCTACAGCATGTTTGATCTGATATCCCATTTTGTGGCCTGTTTTGTTGAGGATTCCAATTCTTTTTCAGATGTTGCATATACGAAGCATATTTGTTTCTGTAGAATATTTTCACAATTTTTATTTCTCTGAGCTAAATATAAAAGTTCTCATAGTTTGTATGGAAGGAGCCAAAATACATCCAAATCATATGTTTATATTAAAAAAAAAAAAAGCATAAACTATTAGAAATAATACTTTGTAGAATGTAATGCAGTCATGAAAGACCCAGTCCACTGAAAGTCCACTGTTCCCTATCTTCAGCAGCACATATAACTTCTGGCTGCGGCAGTTCGATTTCTCCCTCTTTCCTCTCCCAAATATGTCTGTTTCACTGAGGACCACTTAATTCATGGATGCAATTAGTCTTTCCTTGCAGCATCTTTGTCTTCTGAGTGCTGTATGTTGTATGTTGGTGCAATTAGCACAGATTAATTCTTGCAAATAGCTGCAATGATTTAAACAGCACAGCCCTGGTGCTGTAGATGTTTTCTTCTCAGTCTTTCATCAGATGAGCAATTCATGCGTGTGCTCCATAATCTGCTTCAGGTAAAATCAACTATGTTGTTTTACAGAGCTTCAGTAAGACACTGATGAGCAGCTGGTGACATTTTAAATAGCTCCAACTGGATTTAAAAATAGTGTCACTCTGTAGCCATATTTCTTAAGAAATTATGGATAATTTTGGCCCTCTTTACCAGATTTACACATGTAACCTTACATAGAACAAGTAGCACAGACTGGGCTATCTGCAAACTGTAGGTTTATTTTTACTTTTTTATAGTTGCAGAAAGTAAAGGATGATCTTGAAATGGTGCTGTCAACAGTTCAGTCAAAGAATAAACAACTGGAGGAAGATCTGAAAAGGTAATGCACTAATTTGGACTTAGGATTGCCGTAAGCTTTTTTACTACGCTTTTTTTTTTGGCTGCCCAGCAAAACTATTTATCTGTTGTGCCATTTCCTACTTTTCAAATTTCAAAGAGAACAGCAGTGGCATGAGGAACAGGAGCAGATACTAGATGTTCTTAATGAAATTGAAGAAGAGACAAAAACCCAAGTTGAACAACTTTCCAAAGAAAGGTATGTCTATAGTGTTGAGTTTATATGTTGAAGAATTTAAATATCGACAAGAACAAATGAGCAAACAAACACTTAAAACATACTCCTTGTTTTGTTAAATACGTCAAATAATAACGCACTAATCCATATTAGAAACATAGAAAATATTGCTACTATCTGCTTATATCCTGTAATTTAATATGTTGAACTTATAACAATAGAAAATAAGGGATTTTTTACCTGAGAAGAACTTTTTAGTTATTTTACTGAATTTTGTATTTTATTGCTATGTTTTTACTATTAGTCTGAATACTAGAGCATTTCATGAACTGCAAAATAAAATGTTGAAGCTGAAGCTATATAAGGAAGAACTCTTGAATTCTCTGGGTAAATTCCTAGAAGAACATTTTCCCCTTCCAGAGAAAGGTAGAAGTGCTAAAAAGAAGAAGGTAAGATATTCTTAACTAGAAAAGTGGAATGTTCAATTTCTATTTAATTAGATGCGATATCTTTTTAAAGTCACTAGCATAGAATCTGCAGTTATATTTTGAAATAAGTATAGTTCTTGCAGCTGATCCTTTAGGTTTAATTGATATCTTTCAGGTTGGTTTATATTATTTAGGGCTGTTCCCAGCTGGATATTTTCTTTTTTAATGCATATATCCTTTACTCAATGAGATGCATAGCAATGTATTGTATTTCTTACTGAACTGCAAGCTGTGCCAAATTTGGAAATGGTGAGTGGTTCACTCCAAATTGTTCCATTTTCTTTTTTCACTGGACTAGGCAAGTGGATTCCTATTTTCCTTGGCAAAGCCAATTTTAATTGTCTAACGATGTTTTTGGAACAGTAATAAGGACAAGTGTTTATAATTACAGTGTAGTTTGGAATGTTAACCATCAGTTTCTGTTCAGGCAAACTGGGCCAAAAATTATCTTAAAACTTTAGGGAAAATAGGCAGTCAGGGAGTATTTTGCATAATAAATTCGAAGTCTGCAGTAAAAATAAACCTTTTACCATTACTATTTGAAAGAATAGTTACAAAAACGCTACAGAAAAGTCGGGGGTTGACTTTGATTTCAGACAGACTTAAGGATACAAAAATAGAAAGGATTTCTTTAATCCAGTTGCCTGTTGTTTCAGACAACCACATAATATAATTTCTTTAATATTATAATTGAGCTCCATTTTAAAACTAATTATCTTTGTTACTACGGTTTCTATTGGGGTTTGTTCTAGTACCTCAGTACCCTGGTTAGAAACTGTCTCCTAACTTCCAGTCTAAATTTTTTCATGTCCAACACAGATCCATGTATTCTTATGCCAGTATTGTCCTTAGACTAGCTCTTTTTCTTTCTTGTGTTTATTCCTCCTGATATATTTATAGACAGCAATCTTATACCCTCTTTTTCTTTGTCTTGCTAATTGAACTATTAAAACTTTCTTGTTCTTCTCCTGTAAGATAATTTTTTTCCAATTCCCTGGCTTACCCTAATAATGCCCATTTTCTATATTTGCTTCCACTTGGATTCATCTTTTTTTGGAACCTGGTAAAAACTAATACTATAAAGAAAACTACTAGGTCATAGTCATCACAAAAGCAACTGATTAAACCCTTGTCTTTTTCTTCCTGTTATTTCCAACTGATGAACCCTGAGCTTTTAATTTAAAAAACAACAACAAACTTGTTTTTGCACAGTACATATTTTGCACATAAAAATACCAAATGGAGCCTTCAAGGCATGACATCCACTTTCAAAGTCTTATTCAACCAACTTCAAACATCTTATTCTATTATATCTTAGTTCTTCTGCATATCAATGCCTTCCAGTTTCCTGCTATTACTAAATATGATGCATTTTGTTCTAACATTAAGAAATTAAAGCCTCAGGGATTTAATTAACAGTCGTCTTTCAATCATATATTTCCTGATTTCAGACTGATATGTCACCTCTCTATTTGCTGGTTCTTACTCATCTTACAGTTGTTCTAGGACATGCCTCTTCAAACACTAATGACTTTGCCAGATACATTTTTAAGGAATTAAAGTTATATATGGGAAAAACGGGCCATCACTTAGAATGGATTTCCTATACTGAGATACACCAATTTATTTGCTCCCATTTATGTGATGTCATAGAAAAATACAGGCTGGAAGTGACCTCTGGAAATCTTCCGTTCCAACACCAACATCAAGATAGTGCTATGTCAAAGTTGGATTGAGTTGCTCATGGTCATATCCAGCTGTGTTTTAAATATAAGAAACAGTGAATTCATGTGTGTGTTTCAGAATTCTGATTTTTATGTAAAATCTCCTGCCCCAGAGCAAAATCAACTGCTTGAATTTTCTTAGCCTCTATTATGCTGTCAGAAATTCTTATTAGCTACCCTGCCTTCATCTCTCTCCATGTGAGCTTCCTTATTAAAATCTAAAGAAAAAAATAATCACCCAAGGTGTTAGGGATTAATCAACCCTTACCCTGCTCACAGAAACTCACCTTTTACCTTGTTTTTTTAATTTTACATTCAATTAAAATTTATTTTGATAAATTGCCAAGCAAGTTCTTATCTTGCCTTAGTTTAGATTTTATATTTACGCATTTCCTGAACTCTTAAACACAGGTTTTTTTTCTGACAAGTCTCTTTCTCCTTGTGAATTCATAGCTGCTATATCTTTTTACTCAGTTGGATCTCTAATGGCTCAACTGCATCTAGGTGATTAATTGTGAAGGCAGGAGAGACAGCCATTTTCACCTCTATTGTTTTCTTTATTCTGTCAGAAATACAGATTGACAGCATTAGCAATGAAATTTGCTGCTATGCTGATTTGGGGCAACACATTCACATCTAGTATCAGCTTGGTTCAACACTCTGGAAGCACTGAACTCTTAACTCTGTACATCAGCAATTTTGCTTCACTTCATGGAAGCTTCTTGTGTTCTTAGTAGCTCTGCATGAGGGCAAAGGTGTGGGGCTGACATCTGTAGGGCACAGCTCCAGAGTAGAGTGAACTGCTCCAAGCCTTGCTGTTCTGGTTCCACCCTCCTTTCACCAGGCACCTGTGTCTGGGATTAGGAGTTGGGGGGAATACTGAATCACAGCAGCCCAGGTTAGCTTCTGTTGCCATGGCCCAACACGTTTAGTATAGGTAATGATCGAGGTCAGAATTATCTTGCATTTTAAACTTCAGATTAAAAAACTACTTTTTTTTTTCCCCAAGATGAGAAAAAAGTCATATGTTGAGGAATATTCTTTATGCTAATCTGTCTCATGGAAGGGAGAAGAAGGTGCCTTTCAGGTTAAATAAATAAATGCTGAGCATCCTGCTTAAAAGTGATTTTATAAGCATTAATTTATTAGAGGTACTTATTATATTGGTGACACTTAAAATATGTAAGTAATATAATTTTACAAAACAACATACACAATGTACATTATTAACCTAACAAAAAAAGTTTGCTAGTGCTGTACTAGTGCAAACCTCTTTACACTAATATCCTTAGGATTTTATTCTTTCTATATCAGTTTTAGTAATTACTGAAGTCATAACCTGCTTTCAACTTTGCAACATGAATATTGAACCCACTACCTAAGTTACAAAATAATATTTTTGGCCAGGGAAATACAACAGCCAAGGCTATGAAGTATCTTCATGATTGCTCCAAGGAAGCTTTTGCAGCTTCTTAGTGTTGATACTAGGCTGCGGAAATAGAATCTAGATAAAGGCACAAAGATAGGCATTATTGAGCCCTAGTTCCATGGTTTGCAAGATTTCCATGGAGCAGGCAGTATGTCCCACTTGTGGCTTTCTGAAGGTGAGAATATTAAGAACTGTGACTGGAAAAAAGGAGCCAGAACTTGCCTTTCACAAATTCTTCTTTATTGCTTGTATTCATTCTTCTTCTGTTCCAGACGTGGAGTTTGTATAAGGTGCTGTACATTTGTTAATACCTTAGAACTTATGTTGACATATTCAACAGCAGTGCTGAGTAAGCAGCCACCAGTGCTGTATTATCACTTTTATTTTGTTGAATGTGAAGTGGAAGGGGAAGAAGGATAAAACTGAAAAATAAAATAATCAGGTTCACTGTGCAACGGCACAAGTAGTTTTGTTGGCATTACTGCCTAAGGAATCCACATTAATTTATAGGCAAATAGCTTGACTTGCCTGCTACAAATGAAAACATGTAATTTTCTAATGGATTGATGTACAAATGATACTTTTATCGAGGACTTTTTTTTAATTCTTAATTATTCTATTTCTTAAGCTTGGCCATTTTTTTTAAATTGAAGTCAGAGTAAAAGTAAACAAATATTCATCAGCAAATCATGAAAAAAATATTAAGCCACTATGAACTCAAGTTCTGAGCTGTGTCAAACTTGCATTGTAAACATTTTTCTAAAGTTCAAGAAAAACATTTTTTCCTACCAGATCATATTCATAGAAAGTTTTGCAGTGTACTGCTTTTATAAATATGATGTACTTGGTTTTATTTAAATGTAAACCGAGGTAGATATACTATGATCACTTAAGATTAATCTTTTTTTAATAATTAATTCAAAAAAATATTACATTAAAGTGTATAGTATTGAACTGGTAGATGAATGATTTAAATACTACCTGGTATTTTTGTCATGACTAAATCTAAGAAAGTCCTCATCTGTTATGTACTATGCAATCAAATAATTGTGTAATTATTTTTCTTTGTCAATTAACATTTTTCCTGACTATTCAGTTCTGGTTTCTGTTAATTTGGCTGGGGGGGTGGTTATCTTTGCAGAATTCTTCTGAAGAGCCAGCTGTAGAACTGGTAACACTGCATGAAATTTTAGAGGTAAGGTAGTTTTGTTATGTAGAGATTTGGGGGATTTTCCAATACTCAGATACGATAATAATATATTAATAAGGTAAATATCAGTGTATGACATACAGTTAAGACCATTAATTGAAAAGTAAAATGTGTAAGAATGTTATGTCAGATTTCTATTTTAATTCCTATCAAAATAAAACCCCAGTTTTTCACAAGAGATGTGGCAATAATTTACATAACTAAATTTTCAGTTTAAGATGAAGAATGATTATCCATTATTTATTGATTTTATAATGATTATCTTAAACAAGTTTTAGGAGCCATATTAAGGGACACTAATGCTATGCTTAGCAAAAATATCAGTTGTTCCATTTCATGCTATATTCTGTACTGTTTCAATAAAAGTATTTCTGAAATATAATACAATAACAGTTATAGAAGGACCAATTAATGTGTAGTCTCATGTATTAACTGGATTATCCTCTCATATGAGGAAATCAATTAATCCAATTGATGCATTTCTAATCAATTTTATAAGTATGCTAACATTGCTTAATGTGTATTTTTAATCACAGTGCAGTTTATGAATTTGAATTGCAAAGCATAATTTTGAAGAAGCATTAAAAATCTTTTCACTAGCGCTGTTCCTTCTTGTCTTAAATGTAGCATTTGAAGTGCAATTTCCTATTCCTCCTCCATCCTCACTGTTCAGGCAGTTGTAAGCATCTGTGTGTAAGACCTCCCTGGGGGGGAAAATGTTTTTTCCTGAGAGAAAGCTTGATGAATAACAACTTTGTGGTATTTAGATGCTATGATCTGGTCACTATGACATTGTTGTACTTTAGTTTAAAGCCCAGACTTTGGGCTTACATCATCAAAATCATTTTACATGCTTCAAGTACCTCAGCATGCCTATTGATGCCAAATTAGGCAGAACTTGAAAACAGATCAGAATTTAAAATAGCCACATTCCCTACAGAATGAAAATTTTAAAGCTTCTCTAATACTTTAAAATTGCCCTTCGTATTTTTCTGATGCTGTTAATCTCCTCAAAATGTGAACACATCCAAGTAATGTCTGATTTCCATTTGGAAGAACATACTACTTCCAAAAAATCAGGCTTATTTTTAATTTTAACTATCTTGGCGTAACCTGTCAATGTCCCTTATCTTTGTTTTATGGGGTTTTTTTATTAAGCAACTTGGTTCTAGCCTCAAGTGCCTGGTAAATTTCAAAAGTGTTTTCTTAGATACAGATAATAGTTTCTTAAAGAGACAGATATAAAGTCATCTTCGTATTTTTGTGCTATAATTACAGATTTAGGAATTGCTGTTGTAAAAATGTAATTCATTCACAGAATTGCAACCAGTGCATGTGTTCCTAACCATGTCTCCTCAATCTCCATGTGTTTTGTTAAATAATTAAAGGGTACACTTTTAATAAAACCACTTTGACAAGCTCAGTGTATACATTTATATTATTTAGTTATATCAGTACCTATTTCATTAAATTAGCATAAGTAGTAAGCAAGCAGTAAACTCTTTTCTCATGCAAACCTTGGAATTTTTATTATACTACTTTTTATTCCAGTAATGAGCTGTAATTTTTTACAAATGTAGTAATTATTTTCCTTTTAAACAGTTTGAGGATTATTCCTTTCTGATTGAGAATTTAGCGAACTAGTTTAAGATTTGAAAGACTGCTTACAACACAATGTGTGTAAAGTTACAGCCTTAAAGGCTCTCTTGGAATATCAGATGTCAGAAAAGACTAAGAAACAGTTCATCTAAAATAATGCATTTGGAGTAAATATTCAACATTGGGACAGATAAATACAAAAGACATAAACTGGAATAACTCTTCTGAATGTTCTGAAAAGGAAGAGCAGTATTTTTTTTAACAGCAATGGGTGAAAAAAGAGTGAAGTCTGGTAATGAGGATTTTGAGGTTTTCTTTAGTAGTAAAGATGCAGACAGAATTTTTTGTACGTACTGAAATTAGGAAAGCTGTAACATTTAGAAGGTCCTAGTAGAAAGATGAAATATCTAGGATTAATAGAGAGCACCACGGGAGGGAGGGGTAAGATTATTTAATCTGTAATGTCTGCAATATTCCCCATGAGCAATATTATAAGAGCATAAACATGGTCTCCAAGAACAGAAAAAGAATGTCAATACTGATCTTTGGTTTTAACTCCATTAACTAATTCTGTATTTAGATAAGGAACAAAGGAGAAGTAAGAAAGTATCAAGAAAACATGAATTGTTGTAAGGTGCTTGTTATGCCTAAACAAGAAGTGATGTGAAGAATTTGGATAATCCATTTATGAGATGAGCAAAAAGATTTGATGTGCAAATGTAGTGAAGTTAAGCTAGGACTGTGATGTTTAACTTTTCACAGGTGCAGACTTACTTACTTCTAACACTACCTACAGAAGGACACAAAATACAGGAAAAAGAATTCTTCCCAATCTAAGATGACAGATTTTCTTTTTTTTTAGCTTATTAGTGAGATGAAAGTTAGAAAAATTGTAAGATGGACATTCTTCTCTGCTAAAATCTGAAAGAGTGAGGGACACTGATTTGTTGACAGTAAGTCATTATGGTTTTGAGGCAAGTGATTCCCAAAAATCTAGCTTTCCTTCTTATTTAATGCTTTTAATCTTAAATAACAAATACTGATTTAAAGATTAGTTACATAAGGATTTACCACCTTTATGTTCAGATTTTTTTAGGCATTTACAGTGACACTATCTAAAATCCACTAAGAATTTTTGACAGATGGTGAAAAACTTAGTCTGGATAAAAGGAGAATTATGGTTCTAATTATTACATCAAAAAAAGATGTAATGAAGTTAATTGGAAGTTCTTAGTTTTACTTCTGCCTTGAACAGGTCTTGTATTTCTCTTGTAATCTTTTATTTCTTATATTGCCTGCGTAAATGTCTCATTACAATAATTTGTATAAATTTGGTTAAAGGAGATAAAAAATCTGTTTTGTTCATTTCCTAAATCTTATCCTTTTGGTCTTCCAGATTCTTATAAACAAATTAATGAGCACACCACATGAACCCTATGTAACAATCAATGACTCATTTTGGCCACCTTATATTGAGCTGCTGCTGCGATATGGAATTGCCCTGAGACATCCAGAAGATCCAAACAGAATACGCCTAGAAGCCTTTCACATGTAGTGTGACCTACATGTTTACTTTAAAACAAAAGAAAGCACCAGTGCTCTTACTTGGGGGCTAAGACATACTTATGTTTTATGATAAGCTTTTTTCATATCAGCAACCTCTTCCTGATGGAGGATTTTATATTCTTTTTTTATTTAATGAAGTGTATGTTTGGTCAGAGTGTGAAATATGAAAAGACAAATTTCTACTTTAACTGCTCACAATTACAGTTGGCTTTCAGTTTTATGGCAAGTGATGCCAAGATTTGCATTGTGGAAGGCTTTTTCAGCTGCTTTACTTTGTCTATTACCTGAATTAGCAACTTATTAAAGATGTTTAATAGTCCTTTTTACTTTAAAAATTATATTTTATACATGACTTTTCTCTTTTATGTTAATTTCTTAGGTTGTTTTAACTCTTCTCACTTTCCTCTAGTATTTTGTTGCACTCTGTAGATGCAAAATTTTAAATAAATCTGCTATTCCTCTACATGGCCTTGCAGACATTTGGAATGAACAGTGAAGTATCATCTCAAGAATGTGTTTGGTTTTTTTTCCAGAGCTGTTCCAAACAAATTTATTGGCTTTAAGATAAACACTTAGGAAAGCTGACACATCTTTCTGTACAAAGGGCTGCAGATGTTCAGTGTGCAACTCTACAACTGTATGCTTCCTAAACAGCTCATGTTGTGTTATGCTATATTGCCTAACGGTATCTGTCTTCACTTTTTCAGATCTAGTTTGTAAGGCCCATAACAGATCTCTGTTCTGTTGATTTGTACAGTTTCTGAGTTATGTCAGTTGACAGTTACCTTCTGAATAAATGCTGGCATTCTGTATCATCCTAATCTGCTCTTCTATAGCCCTTGTTATTGCAGTCCATGAGTACACAAATGATAACTTGCCCAATTTTACACAAATAGTCTGAAATTAACCCCAGAATTGAAGCTGGAAATTCTACTCTTGCATATCTGTAGTGACTATAACCTTGGAAAATAAAATATGCCTTTTATTAAGCACATTTCAGTTTATTGAGGTAGAAACTTTAATGATTATTCAGTTCACAGAAAAATAAAAGGTTGTATAGAATCATTGAATGGTTTGGGTTGGAAGGTTCCTTAAAGACCATCTAGTTCCATCCCCCTGTCATGGGCAGGGACACCTTCCACTAGATCAGGTTGCTCAAAGCCCCATCCAACCTGGCCTTGAACACTTCCAGGGAGGGGGCATCCACAGCTTCTCTGGACAACCTGTTCCAGTGCCTCACCATGCTCACAGTAAAGAGTTTCTTCCTTACATCTAATATAAATCTACCATTCTTCAGTTTAAAAGTTACCCCTTGGCCTATCACTACATCTTTATCACTAATCTTTATCCCTGATAAAGAGTCCTTCCCCATCTTTCCTGTAGGCCCCCTTTAAGGACTTGAAGGCTGCTCCAGGCTGAACAACCCCTGTCCTCACAGGGGAGGTGCTCCAGCCCCCCGATCATCTTCATGGCCCTTCTCTTTCTTATGCTGGGGGGCCTATAGAGCTGGACACAGTACTCCAGGTAGGGTGGCAAGAGAGTGGAGTAGAGGGGCAGAATCACCTCCCTCGACCTGCTGGCCACACTTCTTTTGATGCAGCCCAGGATACAGTTGGCTTTCCAGGCTGCGAGGGTGCATTGTCAGCTCATGTCCAGTTTTTCACCCACCAGTACCACCAAGACCTTCTCTGCAGGGCTGCTCTCAATCTACTCATCACCCAGCCTGTGTCCATGTTTGGGATTGCCCCAACCCATGTGCAGGACCTTGCACTTGGCCTTGTTGAGCTTCATAAGGTTTGCATGGGCCCACTTCTCTAGCCTGTCAACGTCCTTCTGGATGGCATCCCTTCCTTCTAGAGCATCAACTGCACCACTCAGCTTGGTGCTATCTGCAAACTTGCTGAGGATGTGCTCAATCCCACTGTCTGTGTGCTTGAGAAAGATGTTAAAGAGTACTGGTCCCAGTACAGATCCTTGAGGGACACCACTTGTCACTGGTCTCTGCTTGGACATTGAGCCATTGACCACAACTCTTTGAGTGCAACCATCCAGCCAATTCCTTATCCATTGAGTGGTCCACCCGTCAAATCCAGGTCTCTCCAATTTAGAGACAAGGATGTTGTGTGGGACAGTATCAAATGCTTTCCACAAGTCCAGGTAGATAACATCAGTTGCTCTTCCCTTATCCACTAATGCTACAAACCCGTTGTACAAGGCCACCAAATTTGTCACGCATGATTTGCCCTTAGTGAAGCCATGTTGGCTATCACCAATCACCTCTCTGTTTTCCATGTGCCTTAGAATAGTTTCCAGGAGGATCTGCGCCATGATCTTGCTGGCACAGAGGTTAGACTGACTGGCCTGTAGTTCACCTGGCCTTCCATTTTTTTCCCTTTTTAAAAATGGGGTTATGTTTCCCCAGTCATTGGGAACTTCACCAGTCTGCCATGACTTCTCAAATATGAGGGGTAGTGGCTTAGCAACTTCATCTGCCAGTTCCCTCAGGACCCTCAGATGCATCTCATCAGGCCCCATGGACTTGTGCGCCTTCAGGTTCCTTAGATGGTCTCAAACTTGATCTATGGTGGGCAGTACTTCATTGTCCCAGTCCCTGCTTTTGGATTCTGTGAACTAGGCGGTGTGGCTAGAGTACTTGCCGGTGAAGACCAAGGAAAAAAGGTTGTTGATTACTGCAGCCTTCTCCATGTCAGTTGTAGCCTGGTGTCCCTTTTTGCTCATGACTGGGGGGTACAGTTTCTTTCATCTTCCTTCGTTGTCCTATGCACCTGAAAAAACCCTTCTTGTTATTTTTCATGTCCCTAGCCAAATTCAGCTCCAGCTGTGCCTTGGCTTTCCTGATCCCCTCCCTGCACTCCCAGGCCATATCCCTATAATCTCCCCAAGATGTGTATCCCTGCCTCCACTGCCTATGCATTTTGGTTTTGTGTTTCAGTTTGGCTAAGAGGTCTTGATTTAGCCAGGCTGGCCTCCTGCCTCCCCTGCCCAACTTCTTGCGCATCGTGATAGAAAGCTCTTGTGCCCTAAGAAAAATGTTTTTAAATATGTCCCAGCACGCCTTCGCTCCTTTGCCTCTGAGGGCAGTTTCCCAAGGGCTCCCATGCACTAGCACCCTAAACAGCCAAAAGTTTGCCTTTCTGAGGTTTAGGGTCCTGACTCTACTTTGTAGTACCCATCCTGTACCTCTCAAGGTTGAGAATTCCACCAGGGCATGATCACTATGAAATCCTGAACAGGACTCAACAGAGTATTTCATGTAACAACTTTACAAGATGACATAAGGATGCATGGGGAAGGGGACCAATCCACTATAAGTCCTAGCATAATTGCCTTTTCTACCCCTACTAAGTGTTAAGCAAAAAAATCATGTCTTGTGTGGTTTTGAGTGAATGCTGTTCATTTTACCCACACAACTGGTGATTAAGCATAAGTGTAGATCCCAGTGTGTGCTGTTGTGCATGAACATTGACTTTTTTTTTTGTTTGATACTGCTTGCTCAACTGCTGTCCATTATTCAAAGTCTAGCTCTAATGTCTGACTACTCTATACACGTTTACCTCACAGTATTTTTAATTAATTATTCAAATAGCTAAGTTTCTTGGCTTTGCTTTCTAGCATTGTTTCATTAGATTTGTTTTTCTTCATTTGTTTTTAAATACTTTGTATTCTGCTATCCTTTCACCTTATTACCAGTATTATAAAGCTCAAAAACTTCATTGACCCTGGCTGCCTGCTTCTGTGGTGACATTGGTAAGTTGAAGAAAAGATGTTAAACACTAAGTAGCTTCTCTAGTTTTATAAAGAAAAAACCCAACCCACACTACACCTCCCCCCCCATAAAAAAACCAAACAACCAAAGCCACTGAGAAGGAGATAGGGTAGTCTATGAATGAGTTCTCTAGAGAAGATGCAGTATTCATTATTTTTCATAACACAAAATCAAATTTCATCCAAGTAAATTATCAGAATAGATTTAAAAGAAAGCACTTCATGTAAAGCTTTATATTAAATTATGGAACTCACTGCCATAAAATGTGTTGCAAAGGTTAAGTACAAATTTTCAAAAAATGCAAGTTTATAGAATTAAGATTCATGAGTGGTTATTAAAGAAAGTTGGCAGTCAGCTGTTTCAGAAATCCCTGTCCTGCTAATTGTTGGACCCTGAGAAGGTATACACAGATACTCCTTGACACCCTCCTGCAGGTCCACAGTGTCTTATTGCATTCCAGAAAGCCTTTCTGCTTAGGCTTGGGACATGCTCAGAACTCAAAACTTCAATGTAGAGCTTTTTTCTTAGGCTTGATTAAGTCACTTACTACAGCAAAAGAAAAGCTGTAGAAAGAGGTAATCCATTTTCTCTTGTAGCCTAAAATACGTTATCAGTTTTTAAGGGAAACTGGTTCAGACTGAAACAGAGCTAGCTGGAAGCTGTAGTGTCTAGCAAAATCCTGGCAAGTAAATGGAAGAAGTTCAAGGCAGTAATGAAGAACAGATCTTCCTTATGAGGAAAGCCTGGAACAGGATCTTCTGTCAGTAGTATTGACAATCAGGAAGGTTGGGGAGTATATGTAAAGACAGAGTAGGGTGACTTCTCCATTATTTTTCTCCATGCATGTCTAAGTGACAGTTGTTTAACTGGAATGAACATTTCCGTAAATGCTAGTATTTGGACTCTACCTATGTGTGTTCTATGAAATAAGGATTTGTTTACCTTACTGTCAATTTTTAACTCTACAAAGCTAACATTAAAAAAAGCTGGGAAGTTCAATGAACATTCAGAGCTACCAGCCTGAGAAAGATGAAAATTTGATTTAACCCACAGTCATCCATTCTTTGATTGTGACCTTTTAGCGGATAGTATGAGCATGGATAGTTATGAATTTGCTTAGAGGAGAGATACTGACAGGTTCAATTAGCTGGACCCCTCTGTCACTTTACAATAATCATTTTGCCCCTGGTCCCAGTCAAGGG